AAACGGAGCTTAATTGCGATAAACGGATCGAATCAGGTGATAAATCAGTGAAAGACAGCTTACCAGATTTGAATTTGGCGAAACGGACTTCGGATTCGGATTCAGGACGTCGAAAGCATAAAATATGACTTTTCAGAAATTTGGAATTTTCGGTCAAAATCAAAGTCAACAGGTTTGACCGGCAATTTCGAGGCCTTCGGGTTTGAATTTTGAAAAACGAACAGCGAAATCGGATTTGGAACGTCGAAAAATGTCAGGATAGGTATACTCGGTCGAAGTCAAAGGTCGTTTAATGCCCGGTCAAAGCCAGTCAAAATTTTGGTCAACAGTGGTCAACGTCGGTCAACGGTCAACGATCAACGGGTCGGGTCAACAAGTCGGGTCGGGTCAACGGGTCGGGTTATGACCGCTCAAACCGGTCAAAATAGGAGAAAAACCGGTTAAACCGGTCATTTTTTCTTCCCCACGCGCAGTGGCGGCGCGTGAACAGTGATAAAATCCCGGAAAAATTTCTAAAAATTATTTTGAACAATTTCGAGATACTTACAAAGCTCGGTTCACAATTGTGAACGGCGGAGAGCTCGATTTCAACAAATCGAAAACTTTGACCGCTTCACCTCCTCACGCGCCGCCGTCTACGGAGACCAATGATGACACCGGCGAACTTGGAACGATGTAACGAACACGATGGTGCGAGAGGTGTCGTAAACAGATGACCCGATCATCGTGAATCGATGAAAAACCAACTAAAACCGAGTTATTACCGACGATACTTCCGACTGAAATTCACAAAGAACGGCGATGATTCACGACGAAAGGTTTGAGGGGTTTTGTTCCTCGATTGACAACGAACACGATGGTAGTTTCAGCTCGTCGTTTGGAGGTCGGACGGCGAGTAGATCGGAGTTTAAAGGAGGGTAGTTGGAGAAGGTAAAACTGGAAAATATGCATCTGCGCACGGGGGAAGAGATTTATAATTCAACATATATAAACAATGGGTAAACCAAGAGTTTAGCCACTGAACTTCCTGTACTTCATTAAACGGTATGCTAACTTTGAAATCTTACAATTTAATCCCCAATTCATTCCAAAAATACCAATTAAATTCGCCACTTTATAATTTCTTAAATTTAGCCCCTAAATTGGGGTGTTAAAATCTTAAAGTAAAAACTCACATTCAATCTAATCCGACTCGATTCGACCTGACATATATATATTTCTTATTTATATCATATAAAAAACTTAACTGAAAAATAATGTAAAGATAAAAGATAAAAATATTATAGTAATCATGTATAAATATATAAAGATTAATTATAGTATTAATCTTAGATCTAATCATGTCAGCTTTTTTTTTATCTTAAATTAACCTGGCCGAAACTCAAATTTATAAAAAAAAAAATATAACCTTATATGATAAAATCAGATTAAAACCGCTCGAATTTGAGTTTAATATTTATCACTAATTGGGCCTAAGATCTATTGATACAAAATGACTGCACATTAGTATATAATTCACAATATTTTGTGGCCCAAAATATGTCAATGTTTTAGTTATTTTAATTTGCTTAATTGGACCAAAGGAGGGATGTTAGCATCCTAATTCAAGGCGGGCCATTAAATTTCTCACTGATGGGCTCTGTTTTAACACATTCTAAAAGAAAAGAAAAACTACAAATTAACTAATTAAAAGTATTTAATTATTTTTCGTGTATTTTGTGTATTTTTATCTATCTTTTTAACATGTTTTAATTATGTTCTTATGACACATTCTACTATGTTCTTATGGCATATTGTTTGTCTACTTCAATCGTAGATACATGATCGTGTAGAGATTCTAACGTCACTCGTATTTGATTTGTGATTGTCGGTGATTAAATTTCTTTATGTATGTCGTTTGTCAATGTATTCAGATCTATTTTGTAAATCAATCTATAAATTTATTTTGGTTCCCTCATCACTCCTACATTATTTCTAAAGTATCTAATTAGATAGAGAGAAATGAGTACTATTAACATTTGTTAGGTTACTATGAACAACGATTACTAATTAGTATGAATGATGAACACCTTTCAAAATATTTTTGTCGAACCAATGGCGGAACAAAATGAAGGTTAGTGGGGCCACGCTCCCTCAAAAAAATTGAACAAATATAATTTATATCTTTAAACTTTTCAAAAAAAATTTAATTTAACTCCCACAAAATTTTTAAAAATACATAATAAATTTTAATTTTTTTTAAATATTCTTAATTAAATCTCCCATAATTTTTAAAAGTTCTCATTAAGCCTCTCCAAATTTCAAAAACTTTAGTTAAAACCTATTTTTTTTGGAGAAAAAGTAAATTGAACCCTTAATTTTTTTTAATTTAAACCTCTAAATTTTTTAAAATTTTAAATTTTTTAAAATTTTAAGTTGACCCTCCAAACTTTATCATCAAGTTCTACTACTGTGTCAAACCTCCATTCGTGTTCGCACGACTATAAGGGGGGCTTGGTTTAGGTAATCTTGGATTACCGGGGGGAATGAAATATCATTCCCTCGTTTGGATTGCAAACATTCCCAACCCCGGTAATCCTTTATTCCCAATAGTTGTATTTTGGGGATTTATTACCGAGAATGTGATTCTCAATTTCCCTTAGATATTGTTACATTCTCGGCGTTTTGGACTAAAATACCTTTAATTTTTTTTTTCAAAAATATTCTTCTTCTGTCGTTGAATAAAAAAATTTACGAAGGTTAAATTACAAATTTATCCTTAAATTATTTTAGATTTACAAAAAAAAAATTATAATTAGAATTTTATATGAAGTTTAGGGATTAAAATAAAATTTTACCATTTCATTAAACTTATTTATCTTTTTAATTTTGTAAAAAAATATATAAATTTTATGAATTTAATTTTTTTAAAGAAAATATATAAATTAATTATAGTAGAATTATAGTAGAATTCAACTTGTTAAAAAAACAAATATATAATAAGGACAATTTGGTAAAATATACATTCCAATAATCTTTTATTCCTTTAACCAAACGCTATAATCATACATTTCTGCTAAACGAACCAAACACAAAAATACAACATTCCCAGTAATCTTATTCATGCCGATAATCTTACATTTCGTGAACCAAACACAACCTAAGGGGTCGTTTGGATGGGGAATGTGGGATTCACCCGGGAATGGAATCCACATTTTCCTGGGAATGGAATCCACATTTTCCTGTTTGATTTGGACGGAAATGTCATTCCCGGCAATGTTTTATTACCAATAGTGGATTTTTTGGTATATATTTTCTTACCCATTAATCCTTCCACATTCACCAAAAACTTCAAGAATCCTAGCAAAAACAGTACAAACCGTCCTAACCAACAACGCGACAACCTTATCAAATGTTTGGTTCCCAAGTGAAACATCCTTAAGATGCCTAACATCTTGTCTCTGCCAAATCAATTTCTGCTCAAAAGCTATCTTACTTTCCTCATGTGGGTTTGCCTGAAACTTACCTGGTTCCAAAGTGAAGCATCCTTAAGATGCGTGTTTGAGATTGGAACTTACCTGGTTTCCCATTTTGAGTATCCAAGTTTCTGCTACCATTGCTGAAGGAGGTTGAGTTGCTTTAAAGATTCTGACTTTGGGTTTTCAACAGATTGAAACAATGAATTTCATTGAGGATTTAAAAATGGGGTCTTTGCTAACAAGAAGAATTGAATGAGAAAGGAGAAGACTTTGCTCTTTTAAGTTCCATTTGAAAAAAAGACCAGATTTTGGGTGGTAGTATTTGAATGTGGTATAAGAGTTTTGAAAGTATTACTTATGTTTGCCATTGGGCATCCAATGATCCTCTTGGTTTCCCCTTACTATCCATTTTATACAAGTATACGAAATTTATTGATTGGTTTCGTGATAAAATATATATTAAATAATTTGTTCTAATTCATAAAAAATATAAATTGTGTTCGAATTTGAATCGAGTTCATTCTATTTGAGTGCTAATCAAACTTTAATTGAATGAAACTTAAATAATCTATGATATATCTCGTCTCACTTACAGACTTATTCGAAACTTCATTTTTGTTGGTAACTTATATTCATATATATCATATGTAATATACAAAATTCCATGCTTTTGCTTGATGCAGGTAAGTTGTTCAAGTTTATTGCCAGAGGAATCCAAAACAAATATAAATAAACAATGAGACCTTGCATCAATGATAAAAAATGATTTTCTCTTGTTCCCATATGTAATGGGGTAAGGGGAGGTAAGATAGTAGGCTGCCCCCAACACCAGGTTGAGAGCAACTTCCGTAGAAAACTTTCGAATTATGAAATGCCTCTGTGGGACTCGATCCCACGACCTCAAGATTAAGAACCTTGTGCTCTACCAATATAAATAAACAACAAGTTCCAAAACAAGTCAAACAAATATTAATAAATTAAAATATTAAGATACTGATTTCTATATAATTTGTAGAAAAATACCTTTCCAAGTACTTTTGGTTATTATATCAATATATTATATATAGGGTAAATTACATATTTAATACATAAATTATGAATTTTAATCTGTTTTAATTTTTAAATTATTAATTTTAATCCGGTTTAATACATAAATTTTTAATTTTTTTAAATTATACTTAAAATTTATATTTTTATCTCATTATTAATATCTTAATACGTTTAATACATAAATAATAAATTTTAATCTTTAAAACTTTAATTTTTAAATTTTTTCAAAACTTAAATATGATTTAAGTACTACATGTGTGTTGATACATAAACTTTCATTTTTCTTAAACTTAACAATATAATATTAAAATGAAATAAAAATAAAAATTTAATTATTATTTTTATAAAAATTAAATACTAAAATAAATGAAAATTAATGTGTAATTTACCCTATTATCTATGCTGCCTTATTCTTTCTTGACCATTCAAACCAGATCTGGTCATAGTAATAATAAATCCAGAAAACAAATCAAGTCAGCACCTAATCCATTCCCTTTTATTATTGTCTCCTTGAATTCAAATATCAATTTCGTTTGCTACCTTTCATTTTCCGTCATTTTCCAAACAGAATAAAATTTACGTAAAACGAAACTAAATGGGGAAAAGCAAAACTGTGTCCAGTCGATCCTTTCGTAATTAAAAAAAGGTATATAATAATATGAACAAATTATACAAAAAATGGTGACGCGTTGTACGTTGAACGAAAACACGCCGTCAGATCTAACTACTTTTTTTCCGAATCCGTATTCGCAACTAAACCGGCACGAACGACGGTAACGGTGCCGGCTCGCAACAGAACGGCGCTGCTGGATGTTGCCACATCTTGAATACAAGTTTCTCAGTTTCCATTTTCTGGCACTGTCGCGGCTTCTGTTCTTGACGAGGTGGCTCTTCCCTCCGATCAATTGAGGGACGCGAAGAAGCGAGCGGAGATAAGAGAGGGATCGCGATGTTCCAGCTGGAAACCGGACTGATCTTTAAGGAAGCAGGAGCACGACGTTGAAGTCTTCCGGGCTGCCGCATAGATCCCACGTTGGTGACGGTGATTTTCTTCGGCGAGGTTGACATGTATAGGATTCTAGGGCTTCTGGCGAGAGTAAATAATTTCTTTTCCCTTGTTGGATGATTCAATGGATGGATGGCTTTCGGAGGGTTTTTATAGGAAGGAGAGGGGCGAGTGGATCGCACGTGAAAAGGATAAACTTAGCTGGCTCAACTTTTTTTCTTTGACTTTGACTGTTTTTTTCTGGAGCATTCCTTTTATTGGCCTCATAAGGATAGTAATATCCAGCTGGACTCAGCCGAGACAAAACGAAAGTAAAAATCAAGCCAGCCGGCCAAACCGAAAGGGCATTCATCGGTCAAAAACTTCTGTTTTTAACGGGTGAGTATTTCATCTAATCGAATCAAGTTAAAAAATTTTAAGTTATTCAAGTTGTTGAGTCATATGTCGAATTTAACATAAATTTTTTGAATCAAATCAAATTGTTCGAGTTGGATTGTTCGATTTCTATACAAATTTAATTTTAGTTACTTGTAGTATTATAGTACAGATTTATTTTAATTTTTCGACATTCTCTAACCATATAATATATATATATGTATATATATTTTTTTTCATTTTTTACATTATAATGTTATTTAATATATCACATAAGATCTAAAATTATAAAATATATTTACAATATTATATTTAAAAGAATGCATTTTGAGGATAAAAGATAAAAGGATTATAAAAGAGTTAAAGAATTAATGTGAAAAAAGAATTTGTAAATAATTGTAGTTAAAAGATTAAATTAAGTAAAATGCAAAGTTAAATGATTAAATTAAAATATATATATATATTTAGTAAAAAAATAATTATTGAAGTTATATATGTATTCTATAGTGGTAGGGGAGCATGTGAGTTAAATTTTGTCAAAAAAGTATTTAAAATTGAGAGACTGTATTGAAAAAATAAAAAATTTGTTATAAAAGTGGAATTGAAAGTACATATGTATTCTATGATTGTTTAGGAGTATGTGATTCAAATTTGATGAAAATTTGACTTAAAATGAACTAGGAATTGAAGGAATAGTAAATTAGGGACCAAATCGCAAATCTATCAAAATATTCATCTAAAATTTTATTTTTTAAGTAACTCGAAATTTTGAAATTTTAACTCAACTTAAACTTATAAACCGAATTGATAATTTGAAATGACTTGAATAACTTAACTTAAATAATTTAAAATTTAAAAAAATCAATTTTTGAATAAGTCGAGTTTTTCCCCTAATTCTAAACAACAAAAGGAAAACGGCGTGTAGGCTTACGGCTGAGCTGAACCCACAGCTTGCAGCTAAAAACCGTGGGTGGTTAAGGTCAGTGTTGTCCACGCACTACTGGATTTGGACCCCACCCAACGCCAACACCTATGTGGACCATGTATCTCGCTTCATATAAACGTTGCCACAAATAATTTCATCATCAAATTTTTATAGTGGTTTAATTTTTGATTTCACCCCTATACTTTATAAAAATACATAAATAAGTTCTCCATGTTGTATTTATGACCGATCTTGATCAAATAATTTGAGAAATTAAATTATTGCTTAAAATTAAGGGGATAAATGCTAATCTTATAAAATTGTGGGGGGATAGGCAGCGTTTTTATTTTAAAAAAATATCCAATAATTAATTGAATAGAAAACACAACCCTCAAACTATATTATTTAGAAAATGACCCCAAAACTACCTATTACATCGTGTTCTAAAAACGCGTTTAAAGACCTCACTTTCTGCAGAATGCGAGATCAATAAATTTTTCAGATAATTTCATTTAATTTATAGATAGACGAAACTATAAATGCATAGAACTCGTTTTTTTTTGTAAAACGCGATGTCTTTGATCGCTTTTTTTTTCTTTTGTAGAAATTGAGGTTTGCGGATTAAAAAAAATTGATTGGGGGGTAATTATTAGGTGTTTTAAAAATAATAACGCCAAGATACGCCCCTGAAACATTTTAGTTTTGCCCCTATTCACACTTTACAACAAATTGAAAAGTTTATAGAAGAATCTTGCAGAAATAAACAAATTTTTCTTGATTTTCCAAAAATTGGACTAATTTATTGCTTTTCATAAAATATAAGACCAATTTCTAACAAATTATAGTAAAATACCAGCTTCTTGGTTTATCCATAAAGTAGAGGGATTAAATTGAAATTAGACCTTATATATATATAAACATATAATATTTGGGGTTAATAAACGGTTAGGACATCAGTTACGTGGTCAACTCCAGGCCTTGTCTTACAAACACGTGTCTGGCCCATATTTTTTACGTATTTACCCAAAAGTCACCTAATATATTTTATTTAACTTTCAGACCCTTTCAAAAACTTTTACCGATTTATCATTTTTTTGCAGGAAGATGGTGTCATGTGAGATAAGGCACGGATGATAGTCCGAGCATTTATAAAAATAACTGTGTTTTGTTTATTGGAAAAAAGATAAAATTTAATTAGTCAATTATTTTTATTTTCTGTATTCTGAAAAATAAAGTCCTATGACCATAAAGAAAATCATGTTTCTTTCACACTTATCATTTTTTCAAATAATTATTTTTTTCTTTTTGAATAAAATTTTTCAATAAATCTTGAAAATAAGATAATAAAATATATTTTTTCTTCAATAATAATAATAATAATGAAAATCAGTGTCAATAAACTTTGTCTAGTCTCTTGATTTTGTCATTATTTAATCAATCTTTTTGTGTCGAATACGTTTTTAAATTTAATTGAGATTCAAAGTTATTCTTAGATACGTTGAAATAATATATATATATACCGAGTATAAAATTCTTATAAATATATATTTTAATATGTTTTTGAAACGTTGTTTGAATGGATAATTAGTAAATTATTATAAATCACTATTGGTTTAAGGGGATACGCTGATGACACACATTTAAAGGTTCACGATCATGAACCCATTAAATTTTTATTAATGTGTGATGCCAGTAAAAGAATACAAATTAATGACTCAATTATCAAAATAAAACGAATTAAAAATATAATAATAAAAAATAAATTTTTTGAAAAATCAATGATGGAAATAAAACATATTAAAATATTTGGTATAATTATATCTCATGCATTTTCAATTATTATATTAAAAATAAATTATAATATTAAAAATCAATTATAAATTATGATAAAATATTTTTCATTATTATCATCGTCATCGACCAATTAACGGAGTATATATATGAGTTATAATTCAAATTAATCATTTATTCTGTTATTATTCAAATTAATTAAGAAAAATTATGGTAAAGTGTTTCTAAAAGAAAAGTATAAATACATACATAAAAATATAAAGATTTTCCCTTTTTTTATTACTCTCTAAACTTGTAACAAAATTTAATAAAAAAATACTAATTATAAAATATTTCTTCTTCTTCTTATTATCATCATAATCATCATCATTTTAAATTATAATTTTTTAAATTAAAAAAATACAAAATTCAATAATTTTTAAATTATAAAATATTTCTTATTATTATCATCATCATTATCATCATTTTGAAAAAGAAACACTAATTATAAAACTTTTATAAAATTATTCATATTTTAATTTACTTACCTTCAAAGTTTTCCTAGACTAGACTATACGTATAGGAGTTTGAAAGGATTAAAAGGACATTAGAAAGTGCAAAGTGGTAATTGATAAACATAACTATATTGTGTAATTTAATGCAAAAATCAAAATTTATTGAGTCATAAAATAATTTGCAAAAGTAAATTTAAAGATTTTAATGGAGAAAGTTTTTTTAAAAAAAAAAGAAAGTTAGCTTTTTACACAAAAATCACTCTAACAGAAATTAATTACCTGTCAAGCATCGTTTCAGAAAATTTTATGGATCTAGCACCTATCCCAAAAAAGCACGGAGGATGATATACGCCTTACTCCACGTGGAGCCACATCATCGTAAAAAATGGATTATTATCTGCGCCTTTCTGTAAAGGGTGCTAGATAGATAAAATTTTCTGAAAGAGTGTCTGACAAGTAAATAAAATATGTCAGGGTAATTTTTGAGTAAATACACCCATATTTTTTGTTTTTTACTTTTTATATCGTGTCACATGATTTTGTTTGATTCCACGTATTTCACAACTGATGACAGTTAGCTATTTCTTTTAATAAATTTTAATTCAAATTTTATTTAATTAATAATTTTTAAAATATTTTTATGGAAAATCTTTTTTATTACAGCAAGGTTTGGTAGAATTAGGCAAATAATGTAAGCGGGCCAATTATTTAGCCCAATAGGCCATGTGCGTTTTTATTTTGGGATCTAAGATAAATGTTATAGTGGACATGGAACTCGTTAAGCTGGCGTGACGAGTTCTATGGAATATGTTTTTTTAATGGGTCGTGGAACGTAGGTCACATAGTCCGAATATATTTAATATATATTAAGGGACTCATTATACCGGCATGACGAGTCCTAATAAAAAATATTTTTTTTTGTAATTTTTTAAAACATTGCAAAAAAAAGATATATTATTTTAATGGTCAGGGAACTCGTCACGCCAGTGTGATGAGTTCCAACAGGTATAAATTTAAAGTTTTCGACCGTTAATGTGACTGTTGTTGAACGTACAATTTTTTAAAATTCACTGGAACTCGTCACGGCGGTGTGACGAGTTCTAACAGCTATTTTGGGAAATGGTTTTAGTATAAATAGGGGTTTAGGGTGAAGGTTTTGATGTATGAGAAGTGAGAAAAAAATTCATCTCTTAAAATAGTGTACATCATCTTCACTCCTTTCATTTCTTACACAACACACTACTTTCATCTTCAACCTCTTACACAACACATTCATTTCATCTAACCAAATACATTTCAAATAATGAGTAACAAATTCTTCACAGTTATCCATTATAATAGTGAAATTCTACAAACTGATGTTGGTATTGTGTTTAAGTCACACATGCCCATCAATATGATGTTCCATGTAGATGTATCTATTCGCCAAATGAAGCAAAAAATTGAGAGAAAACGTGGAGCTTCTATTTCATGTTTAAGTTATCGGCACATGATCTCCTCAAATCCAATATCATATAGAAC